TGGGATTTGTAGTTTCAGTGTTTGTAGTGGGAGTGGAGTCCCTAAAACCTGTATCTGTATAATCTATTCAGGACATCCTTTGCCCCTAGTAATCTCACATAGATTATTTTATTTTTCAATTCTTTTAATTATTCATCTGTAATATTAAGGGTTTTGTTATATTTTCCAAAGGCTGTGGTTTTCAAACCTGATGTTCAATTAGTGTAACATTGACTATTTTCCCCCCCAGGATCCATCCCTGGAAATTCTGATTTAGTAGATCTAAGGTAGGGTCCTGAAATTCCCCAGTTGATCATGATACATAATCAGGTTTAGAAACTTATTCTGTATCTTTCTAGACTTACCATGATATGATTCTAATTGTGGTATAAAGTAGGTGTAGAAGTAAGGCAATTACTGTTTAGTCTAGCTTATTTGGAGGTCAGAATATAAGAAGGGAGAAGGAGGCAAAACGCCAATTTTGTGGCAGTGAGTCTTAGTTCTAGTCTTATTTCCTGACTTTAGTTGTCATACTTGGCTGTCATTCTGGAAATGAAAGATTCTGTTATTGTTGTTTGGTGTTCATTTGGTAGAAGTGACGGACACTATGGAGTTCCTTTGGGAAATAATGGGGTGTATTAATTCCGGACCTTTTTAGCTTTGCCTTTTGAGATCCACTTTGACCACCTCATTGGTTTTCTCTTTATATACAAAAATATCAGGACCCACTATATTATATAAAATAATAGTTTTGATATCAAAATGATTATTATTAACCAACTTGACTTTTTTTGTGTGTGCTTAGATGGAACCATATAAAGGCAATCTCTGAGTAAATTATATAGCATCTACATGATGAAATAATGAGCCTAAGTTTAGGGGATGCTCTAATGCAATATTTAGAATGGATCTACAGTATGTAGTTATTAACCTAAAAGTCACATACTACTGCATTCTTTCAATTTGTGAAAAATTTGTCATTACTTGCCAGGAAGCCTCTGATTTTTCATATATAATCACTTCAGAATTGTTGACTTTCTCCCCCTTTCCTGCCTTAAAATACATTCTTGTGAATAGATGATTAGTTTTAGATCTGTAATGCCCCTTTAAACATTGAGTTGCTAAGTTTATCCCTTTTTCTCTATTTTTATAAAGAAATCCCTACCCCCTGCCCCAACTGGGCCTCTCAGTAGTTACTGATAAATCATACTTTGGTTTTGGCTTGTCAGTGGTTTAAAATAATTTTTAACTTTTTTGCCCAGTGGGAACTTGCTAGTTCTGAAATACTTCTTGTGTTCATGAGTTATCATTGTGTGGAAGGAATGGATATGGTATTCCATTCAGAAATGAGCTGAAAGATGAGTTCTGTCTCTTCATTCAAACTTATTATCACCATGTTCTAACCAACTGAGCTAACTCACAAAGTGGTTCAAACTGTCATTATGAACAGGATTATTTTTATTAAATAGTTGTCAAATATAGTTAGTCAGGGCAGGGTCAGGAATCCTTACCATTTATTGCAATTCTAACAAATAAAATCGAGAAGAAATGGGCAAAAAACGAGGTAACCAAACTAATCTATGGGCAAGAAATGAGGTAACCAAACTAATCTGTGAACTAGAATTCAGCTCATACCTATCCCTGGAAATCATCTCAGATCAATCTAGGAATTATAGGAAACTTATGATCACCTCAGAAAGATTTTACTGATGTCAATCTATTGACTATCAGTTGATTTTGAAAGTAGGAAAGTGGAAATAACCAAACCCTTTGTGATTTTTTTGGCTTGCAAAATTACCTTAATATGAATTCTTGAAAATGACTTTCACTGGAAAAAAGAAGAAACCCCTTCTATTTTCAATAATATTGCTAGAGAAAAGAAGTTTGCTTTTTTTTTAAAATTATTTATTTATGAACACAGAACCAGGGTACAAGCCAGAGCTGCAGGGATGGTGAGAGGACTTACCAGAGACAGAGTGGGGAGAAGAACAGGCATACAGCAGAAGTAAACTGCTGCAGGGAGCAGTGGGCTAGACAGGAGAGGTCTGCTGTGCCATGTGGATCACCTCTGGGCCTGGGGATCGCATTTGCACTGCAGTGGCTGAAGCCAGCTTGCAGTGCTGCATTCCAACCCACTGCACTACCAGGGAGGGCCAAGAAGAAGTTTTCTTATAGAAAAATGGCCTTGAGAAAATTCCTCCAATTTAAAGAAAAGCATTCATGGCAAAATGACTGCTACTGTTATCTCTGATACCTTTTTGCCAATTTCTTAAGAAATACAAGTCAGTGTCTCCCTTGTGACAGAAGGGTTAAAAGTCTCAGCAACGGCCCTCTCTGGTGGCGCAGCGGGTTAAAGCACAGCACTGAGAATCTAAAGCCGCTTCCGCATGAGTTCGATCCCGCCTGCCCCAGAGGTGATCCACATGGTGTGGCAGACCTCTCCTGACCCACCCGCTGCTCCCCTCAGCAGTGTCCTTTGTTGATCTGCCTGTTCTGCTCCCCACTCTGTCTCTGGTGAAGCCTCTCACTGGCCCTGAGCCTCTGGCTTGTACCCCAGTTCTGTATGCACAAATAAATAAATCTTTAAGAAAAAAAAAAAAGTCTCAGCAACATTACCCCTACTGTCTGAGTTTGATCCTCCACCAGGCAACTAACCCATATGATACAGAAAACCTCTCCTGTCTTGCCTGCTGCTCCCCTTAGCAGTAGTCTTTAAGTAAATTTGCCTGTTCTGATCCCCACCATGTCTCTGGTCTCTGGTGAATCCTTTGATGCCCCTGCACACCAATTCTTCTGTGCAAAAATTAAAAATACAAACAAACAAACATAATAGCTGTGTGTAGTCCTTAACACAAATTTAAGACCATTTATTATTTTGCAAATTGTGTTCTGTGTTCATGTTGCTGAGAGTGGCATAGTAAACATGCCAATACTTCACCCACACTACTTAGGGTATTACTTGATTATTATTAAGATTTCACATATTTATTACTGGGGTTCTGCATTCTTCTAGGTTAATAACCAACAGTTTATGGAAAATGTATCTGAAAGTTAAAGAGTTAAATTATATACTTACAATTGTAAGATCCTGAGAGGTTACTATAAATTAGAAACCATGAACCCAGACTTAAACCATCTAGTGGACTACTAACATAAAGTGTTAATTTTATTTTTCATTTTGAAAGACACAGAAGTAGACTAGTGATTAGCCCAGGTAGCCCCAGGCAACCCTGGAATATTGCGTGGTTCAAATGCCCAAGACCAGATGGAGGTCCAGAAGTGGATAACTCAAAGTGTATTAATTTGGCCACCTGGGCAATACAGCCAAGCCAGCTGCCATAAGGCAGTTTCAATTTCAGCAGAGCAGTAAAGGAATACAAAAGTGAGTTTAAAATCCCAAGAATAACGTAAAGAAGTACAGCAAGCAAGGCATGCTGAGCCCTTACTGACAGACCTTGAAGTGGGCACAGCTGCAGTACCAAGAAGAAGGTGATAACAAGTTGCAGTACTGAATTCTGAGAAATGCACCCTTTGAGATGATCCAGGAGCCAGTCCAATTTGGGGTATGTTCAGATGATGGTTTGGTAGATTCTCAATCATTCCAGATGGTCTAGAATGTGAAATATAAGCCTATGTTATATCATGCTTATCTTATCAGGCTGAATACATTTTTTTCCTCATACTTATGGAAAGTTGGTATAATTTCTTTTCCATAGTTCTGGGCCTTTGGAGGCAGTATTTGGAACCTATGCTCTTTGTGGTAGTCCTCTAGAAATTAACTCTATCTTCATGTGAAATTTAATTTGTAGAGATTTTTGAGTTCTGTTTCTGAAACATGATGGGAGTCACTTTTAGATGATTTCTTTAATAGACTTGGAAGATTTAAGTTTTAGATGACCTCTTTTGTTGCTAACCCATTGAGGGATGCGCTGACCAGGATGTGCTGACTGCTTTGTTTGCCGGAATGTAGGAGACTCAGAGACGCGAGAGAATGAAGCAGGAACCTGGAGTCTGCAGTCCGAAGTTGTTTATTAGGCCTGCCCATGGGTATATATGGGGTCTGTATGTGCAGGGAAAAACAGGAAATGTGCCCAGGAAATGTGCCTGATGCAGAGGGTGGGGTGTATGTTTGTACACCCCTACAAGGGCCTAGGCCTTCTTGTAGCTTCTACTTGAAACAAAGTGGTGGGCTGCAGCTACTTTCAGGACAGAGTGCACTGTGCTCTGCTGGCTTGTTTGTTGGTCTTACTGGGGAGTGTGCTCACTGCACAACATTAGGCAGGATGGACAGGTGCACTTGAGTTCCTGCAGAGTTAGCCACACTCTTTGATAAATTTATCATTCTTAAAAGCTGAAACAAGTACAATAATGAGGGTATGAAGCTCAGATCAAGTTGGGATAAGGTATAATAACTTTTATTTAAGGGAGGATGGATCACTAGTAAATAAAAAAATGTTAAATAATCTTGATCTTCTGTGTATGCTAAAATGCTTTTGGCAGCCAGTAACAAAATTCGACTAAATTGATTGAAACAAAATATAGAAGTTTATTATTAATGTTTAATATAATGAGATTTTTAGGGGAATGTAGCCCCTAGCTTTTGTTATCCACTCAGTGATAACCAGCATTAAGGGAAAGGATTGTACTAGTTGCTTCTGTGTTGTTACAGCTTTGATGGTAAGGGCTTAGTCACTGTCTTAAGATGATCTTTTCAGGAGTTGAATATTTCTGTATTTATTTCTCACTTGACCTTTAATCAGTATTAATTAATACCATTGTACCATTAATCAATACATAATAACAGATAGTAATATAACACTGCTTTTAAATTTTTTTTGGTGTTTGACTAAATGTGGGCACTTGCATATATTCTAAACTGGACAAACTTAATCTTTTTTATTTTAACCTTTTACAGTGACATGAAATGAAATAAAATGATAATTTTCATATTATAATCTTCTATATATTTATTAGTGTAGTTAAACTAACACTGTTTTGTGTTTTTTTTTTTTTTTTGGTAGGTGGCATGTTTGACCCATGTAGCTGCTAATTATCTTATTGCCCAAAAGGAAGCAGAACGTTGGGGCACTGCTCATGGCAGTATTGTTCCTTATCAGGTAAGACTATAATAATAAGGAATCTGCTACTACAGTTTTATATGATATAAGTTTACAAAATGACTTTCTTTTTTAAAAAAATCTTTCAGTATATTCCATCATGTATTTGTCTGACTATAACAAGGTTCTGTTATTCGTTTTATGCTCTGTATTTTGTACATTTATTCATCTGAAGAAGATTAGTAACAGGACACTTAAATGGATCAAAAGAACTTGCTGAAAGTGAGTGATTTTTGGACTCATAATGATTTGACTTTTTTTTCATCTTAAAGAGGCACTGGTTGTTGTCATTTTATAAAGCATGGTTTGTTCACCATGTCAATTATAAACCAAATGTTATCTACCCAAACTGACAATAATATTCTTGCAGGATTGGAGTAAAGTGAAATTTGCGTGAGATGGATCTTCATTTTTTTTAAGCAAAGCAGATGGTTCAGGAGCTGCTGTTCTTTATAAAGTGTCTAAACTTGCCCTAAATTCTTAGTTTTGGCTAGTGTGAATGGATATGTGAAGAACTGTGATCTTTCAAATATGAAAACAAAAACAAAATCCTCTAAGTCTTCTTTCAAATGCTTAACCTTTGTTTAGTCCAGCTGCATCTTTGAACTTACTATGTATTTGTGAGATCTAGCATAATACAAGTTTAAGAGCATGAGTGTTTCTTTTTAAAATCATTTTATAATTTTTTTATACCCAGTAGAGACACATCCTGGGCACTATATTAATCTATCGAGTAAAGGAGTGAGTTACTGTAGTCATTTCAGTGCTAGTACTCTTGACAGAACATGAAAAAGACATCACTTTCTATTCCAGGAAATCTATCAACATTGCTAATCATCCTTTTAGTTTTAAGAACATTATTTCCTTAGGCAAAACTAGCTTCTTCTCTATTTTTTAAAATACAGATTTGAGGAAAGGAATGACCTAATGTGAATTGAAAATTCATCTCACTCTCTACTTATGGTCCCTGTACCCAGAGACATTGCTATGATTTTTTTTTTGTAGAACTGCTTTTTAACACATTTAATTGATTTTTTTTGACATAATTAAGTTGTAGAGACATTTTCTTTAAGTGCCTTTCCTCTTTTTCTCTAGGAAGGGTTTTATAACCATTATTATTGTGACATTTTCTTACCTTACTTTACCAACTTTTTATATATATTTTTTGAGCTAGTTAGAGAACAGCCTTCTTATTTTTCAGCTGAGACCTATACTGGATAGATGGACTTCAACTTTTCTCTTCTGCTTTCTTGCTGAATATTCTTTTAGATCCTGCTGTCTTTAAAAGAAGAGCTCTGTAATTTCAGTTCCTTTTTTGGTTTCTACCCAACACCCTCCTCATTAAATTTGCGCCTAGCTTTTCAACTAATTTGTATGCATCATTAATAATGGATATCCTTTGGTACGGCATTTTAAAGGAAGACATTGTTGGAACTCATCTCAAATAATGAAAGTTCAGGCTTCTATTTTTCATCTCTATAGAGAAGACATTTGTGAGTTGCAATTCCAGGATATATGACAAGAGGAAATGTTTACTGTGTTCAAGTATAAAACCCATAGTTTATTTTCCTTACTTAAAAAAAAATAGAATGTTTTTAAATGTGCTGTCTAGATCTAAGCTATCCCTCTTAGGTGTTTGCATCTAAAGCTTTTGTATATTGGGCATGCTCTCAATTATTTTACTGAAAATAAACTGGGAATATTGTAGGTGAAATATGTGGGAAACTGTACATATGTGCATGCACAGGCAATTGAATGTTTTTATTCTTTGAACACAGAAATGTACTTTTCTTGCTTGAATTGCTCCAGTGCTGTAAAGGGGATACTGTGTTTATTTGATTTTTGTTGATTGCAGCTTTGTAATCTGGAGGAAATAAGAGAAGATCTACTAGGTACTTTCCTCAGGAGCCCAGAATTAATTAGTTTCCTCTTGGTAGAGCACTGTGATTAAGAACCAAATGCAAATTTAGCTTGAATGAACCTAGCATACCAAGATGGGTCCCAGATATGCTTATAGACCCTTGTCTGTTTTTAATTTTAAAAATAAATTTGGAAAATATTTTTATGGGTGAAGGCCAGGATAATTATAATTCAGTTTTCTATAATAATTACAGCTTTGCATCTAATTTGAGTTGTCTGAGGTTTGAGTTGAAAGTCCATAATGGAAGACCCTGATGGTCTCAGGAATGTTAAGGTACCTAGCTTATTCTTCTCAGTTTTTGTTGAACCCTATCTGAAAATCATGGACAGTGAAAGCAGAGAATGTAAATTACTGTGAAGTAGTGATCCTTGATTTGTGTGTTATTTTATATACATGCAATTCCTAACTCCTTGGGTTTATTATTCACTTGTACTTTGAGAATGAGGAAGTTAAACAGAAGACAAAATTGAGGTAATCATTTTGCTACTTGTTAAATGTATTGGTAGATGATTTTCTGAGAATTCAGGTTTTTGAAGATAATTTATGGATTTCATTGCTTTTATGATTCCCATTATCATTGCTTATATTTTTTAAATGCATTGCTATTAGTTCAGTGTTTTTCAAACCTTCAAACATTTATATTTTTAAAGGTAGGAGGGTTTTAGGGATGGGATACGAAAATGCAGAGAAGGCAGTTAGCTGGTCTTCAAAAATAATTTAGTTTATTATGTAACATAGTGGGGCCACTGCCCTTCAAATATATGGTCAACATGATAATTCCCCTATTTTTCTGACCTGTGTATATCCAAACTCTCTTCCAGATTTCTTTAGCATCTTAGTCTATATTTGTATATCATCCTTTGCTCTGGGCTTGTGACCCTAACCACTCTCCAGTACTATACAAGATCAGTTCACAAATATGGTCATGTAGATTGGACACTATCCTGAATATTTTGAAGAAAAATGAAGTTTTTTATTTTTTAAGATTTATTTATTTATTCATATAGAACTGGGGTACAGGCCAGAGATGCGGAGGGTGAGAGGATTCACCAGAGACAGAGTGGGGAGCAGAACAGGCAGGTCAACGAAGTACACTGCTGAGGGGAGCAGTGGGCAGGTCAGGAGAGGTCTGCCTCGCCATGTGGACTCCTCCGGGGCAGGCGGAATCGAACTCATGCGGAAGTGGCTTAAGCTTCTTAGTGCAGTGCTTTAACCAGCTGCGCCACCAGGGAGGGCCAGAAAAATGAAGTTTTTTTTTAATAGATGAAATATACTCAAAATACTATATGAGAGTTTAAACTTTCTTTCTATTTCTTTTGGCTCTTTTTTTTTTTTTTTATCTATGTTCCCCCCTGTCTTTATCCTTTTTGTCTTCTTTTCTTTTCAAGAACAACAAATTCTTCTCATCTACAAAGACATTTTATACTTTTGAGTAGAAGCATATCTTTGGGCGATCACCTAAAAGCTTGACTATTTAATGATTATATAAAGAGCATTCCCTCCTACAGAGAATACTAGTGTGTAGATCTGATAGAAACCTACCAAGTTTTCTCACTTTTCCTGATGAGATCATCTCTCTCTGAGTCTATGCTCCCTACAGCAGAAGGGAAATTGCTTGGGGGTGGGGGGGCTTCCTTGTAAAACTACACTTCTTCACATACAGTGATCAGTATAAATAGCTTAAAAGTTTAATCCAGACATAGAGACTACAACCATAATTATATTTTTCTCTTAAAAGACTGTCAGAACAATCCTATCATCCCTTGTATATTTGCCAAAAGCCACAGCCAGGACTTCAAGTCTTCTAGGCCATCTATTACTATTTAGACAATTATTATTATATTACACTGTCCATCTCTTCATTTTATACTTCCATTTCTTCTGCCATCAATCTTGGTGACTACGAAATCCACAACATGGACCCAAGCAACAGCCTTCTGTCTTTATTTCTTAAACCTCTTATTGTTCTTAATAATCTGTTCTCATTGATCACTGTTTTCTCTTATGTATTTCTCAAACTGTAATGTGTACATAGATGTTTTAGAAACCTTAATAAGATGCAGATTCTTTTTTCAGGTGATGTTAATGCTACACTATATGTAATACGATTATAGATTTAGATTTTATTATTATCTGTTACTATGCCACCTCCTTTGTATTTACCTGGCATATTCCAATGTTGATTAAATATAATAGTCCATCTGTTTCATGCCTTAAACAGTAAATGTGACTAGAAGAAAATATAACTGCCAGATTGACCATATCAATATTTATGGCTCTCAAGTGGGCCCTCAGTCTTATGTAGCAATCCTGTATGCTTATGATATGTATTTTTTTAAAAGTTTTATTTACTTATGCATACAGAACTGGGGTACAGGCCAGAGATGCGGAGGGTGAGAGGATTCACCAGAGACAGAACGGGGAGCAGAACAGGCTGACTGATGAAGTACACTACTGAGAGGAGCAGCGGGCAGGCCAGGAGGCCATGCCATGTGGATCACCTCCAGGGCTGGGGATCTAACTCATGCTGAAGTGGCTTTAGCTTCTTAGCGCTGTGCTTTAACCCGCTGTGCCACCAGGGAGGGCCCTATGTTATGTATTTTATCTCTCTACGATGCCTATTTCACATTTCTTTCCTCAAATTTTGTCCCTCTCTTTATCCTTAGCTAAAGACATTGTCTCATTTCATTAACATTGATGCAATCAGAATAGCACTGCTTCATCGAACTATACCTCTCACAGGCCTATACTAGTACCCATTTATAATTCACTACATTCCCTTCTGACTCTAGGGATGAATTTTCCCTGCCCACATTATTCCTAATTAAAGTCATTGCTCCTGTACTTCAACTCTTTATCACCTGTATTATCGGTGGAAGGTTAAGTATATGTTCTTTATCTTAAATAGGCTAGCAACCTTCCTTGGATCTCTCGGATATGTCTTTTCTATCTATCACTGCATTTCCCCATTGTCTCACAAACTTTTCAGAGAGCATTTTGTGTTTTGTCTGCTGGAGGGAAACACTACATCATCTATTATACAATACCATTTATGCCTCATTGGCAAAGAGATTTTACA